CCTTGATACTGGTTTATTACATCAAAGAATCCTACATACTTTGCTTCTGACTGGCCATATAATACCATTTATGGCATGGCTCTGATGAGCCCTACAGAAACATCTTTTTATTCATTTATTTATTCAGTAAGCATGCATTAAATAGTGGTAATGTAATGGCATTGATAATGATATTGATAAAAACAACTTATACACACAACCTAATTATGGGCTAGACCCACTATGATATACTTGTTTACGATATACTTATTTAATTTTTTAGAAAATCGTGGAAAGTTGATTGATAGTTTACAGATCAAGAGACCTGAAACTCTGAGAGTTTATTTTATTTTTTAATGTTTTTATGTATTTCTGAGAGAGAAAGCATGAGCAGGGGAGGGGCAGAGAGACAGAGACACAGAATCTGAAGCAGGCTCCAGGTTCTGAACTGTCAGCACAGAGCTTGACACGGTGCTTGAACTCATGAACTGCGAGATCATGACACTCAAAGTCTGACACTCAACTGACTGAGCCACCCAGGTGCTCTGAGACTCTGAGTTTAAATTAACTTGTTCGAAGTCAAAAGTTAAGAAATGGCCAATCAGATAATCAAAATACGATTTTTTACTTTAAAGACCATTGTAATAATCATTACACCAGCAGTCTTTCTGTTATATTCAAGGTAATGTGCTAGAATCTGGATAGAAAATGAATAAGATAGCTGATAAGTAGTTCATAGTCTTGTGGGGGACATGCTTAAATACATGAAATAATGTGACACTACATAGATTTTTCTCGAGGCCTTGTGGACTGCTTAATCCAAGCCTTGTGGACTGCCTAAGCCAACTCCTAGGGAAGGGATCCTCAAGTAAGTGATCTGAGTTGAATATTAACAGAAGAGGAGTAGGCATGAACCAGGTGCAGAAGAGGTAGAGGAAGGACTCCATCCACGTAGATGGGCAGCAGGTACAGGAGCAGAGGGAGTACAAATAGTATGCTGGGAACTGTTGTTCTTAGAATTCTTGGTATAAAGCTGGGTGACAATGTGAGATGAGGTTGGAGCTGGCAATGGGGACCAGTTGTAGAAGAAGGACCTTGAAATGTTTTTGGCCACAGAGATAATCCTGGCAACTCTTTAGAAAAGAGATGGAAAGAGAACAAAATAAAAGACAGAGGGATGAGGACATCTCAGTCAAGAAATTAAGAGGATCTGATGGAGGTTAGTGCCATTAGGATGGCACAAGCCATTGGGTTAGAGAAATCTTTAAGAAGCACTACTGCAGGACTTGTTGCTTGCATCTGGACAGAGTGAGGGAAAGGAGTGAAAGACAGACTTCCAAGTTTCTGGCTAGAATGGATGGAGAAGTCCTGTTGGCAGAAACTTGAAAGGATTTCAGTTTTGACATTTTGAGTTTGAGGTATGCAGGATACTGAGGAAGAAATGTCTAGCTCGTAGTTGAGTATAAGTTTGAAGCTCAAGAGTGAATTTGGGACTGGAAATTGGGATTTTTTTTGAGAGAGTGAGCGAGAGCGAGAGCGCACGAGCAAGCATGAGCAGGGAAGGAGCAAAGAGAAAGATAGGGAAAGAGAGAATCCCAAGCAGGCTCTGCATTGTCAGCACAGAGCCTGATATAGGGCTCGAACTCATGAACTGTGAGATCATAACCTGAGCTGAAATCAAGAGTTAGATGTTTAACCAATTGACTACCCAGGTACCCTGGAGGTTGGGATTTTTGAATCCTTAGTATGTGGGTGCTAATAAAACTAATGCAGGACTTTTAAGGCAACTTGGTACAGACATTCTTCCCAAGGGTAACGAATTACTTCAATGAACTTGAATTGGCAAGAAGTTCTTTATCCTGTCCTTTCTGGCACGTTAAAACTTCAGATGGTTTAGGGACAAGGGAGGGCTTGCTGGGTTAACAGACTATTTTGATAGCCTTAATAGTACATTCCAGCCACCTCCCAGCACCAGGGTCACCTTATACTAACTCCATGCTCCTTGATCCTTGAGGCCTCTAGCATATATTTTTATAGTGAAGGGAATCTGGGTTCTCTATCTTGAATCTTCAGCCTCCCCCATTTCATTCTTCACATTTTCATCAAGTCTAAGAAATAAGCAGTGTGGGTGTTTATAGAATATGGCCCTTTCTGCCTTTCTCCTGCTTCTTCCAAGTACAGAGTACCTTCCATCTTTCCTGTCCCTCCCCTGAACTTTGTAACTGGCACAGGTCGAATTTATGTCTCAGCAAACTTACAAATTACTGCATGTAATGGATTTTTGGGATCATTTATAAATAATTGAAACCATGAATGTTAAATTCTTGAATGCCAAGGGTCTACTGAGTATCAATATTTCATGAAGTTCCATAAAGAACATTATGAATTCCAGCTTTTGTGCCTCTTAAAATATATTTGAGAACACCTGATCCACAGTATTGATATCTGTGTCTTTATCATTCATTTTTCTTTTAGAATAAATTAGCATGTTAAAGTTACTCTTTGTGAAGATTTATTTTAAGAAACAGGGAGAGTTGAAATAATGTTAAACATCTCATATCTTATATTTCATTTTCTTTGGTTTGTTTTTTATTTTTTAAATGGCAAAAAATACATGCTGTTGTCAAAAAATAGACTGTCAGAGCATGTGGAACATAGTGAGAATCTTGATTTGCCTTATCCTTCAATCCCATTGGCCTTACTAATATTTTGGTTTGTATCCTTCTAACCTTTTATTTGGATTTATACAAGTAAGTACACACATAGGTATATAGGGATTTTTTAAAAGCTAAATGGAATCATAGTATATATACATTATTCTTAATTTAAAAATCCATATATATAGAGAGAGAGAGAGAGAAAGAGAGGGGGAGGGTGGGCGGGAGAGAGAGAGAGAGATCTGTTCATTTTTCACCTCTGCTTAGTGTTTCATGGTAAAAATGGATTCTAATTTATTTTACTACTTCCCTAGTTGTGTCCTTTTTTTTCCCCTGTAGTAACTGACAGGATGTTGAGTGGGATTTTTTCCCTCTATCCTCCCCAAACTGCTGCTGAGGCCCAGAGCTGGGGACAAAAGTACTAAGTATAGGTATCTCATGTTTGAAAGGAGCCTCCAGCAGTGATAGCCAGGCCTTTCCCTGTGAAGCCTGTTGAAAGGTTTGAGAAATGTTCACCACCCAACCCCCAGGCTTTATACAAACTGAGGGGCCAGAAAATTTTTAAATTTGGGGAATGCTGTGTTTGTAGAGAGATGTTATGTTCTTTTTAAAACCCAAACTATAAGAGAATTCATTGTGGAATTTAGAGATACCAGTAGGAACAAGAGACAGGCATTTCATTGGATATCTGCTAACCTACCCTACTTCTACTTAAACAGAAAGGAAATCGGTGAGTTGACCCAGTGGGGAACTGCTATGAGGGGAGATGGGTCAGGATTGCCCCAATCCCACGCAGAGTTCCAGTCCCTGGCATGTGTCACTTAGTCATGTATTGGAGGGAGATGAGAGTGGGGTGTAACTGAGCAGCTTGTGAGAAAAGAATGTGTGTTTTAGACAGGTGTGGCATGAATGCCACTAGCTGAGGGTCAGCTCCAAGAGGTACCCAAACCACTGCCTTTCCTAGGGGTTATTTATTACTATACAAGAAACATGATAAGAACTAGATTCCTTTTGCAAGGTCTTTAGTTAGTTTGGATTGCATTTTAAAGTTATATACTATGTTTCTTAAAAAAGAAAAGACTATCAAAACATTTAAGTAATTAGTCCCAAAGAAGTCATACTAATTAGTATCTTCTCAGGAAATTTGAGCCATTGGATATTAAGTAATATCAAAACCAGCTTTCTCCAGATGGCAGGCCAGCATACATGAGTCTTTAGCTATAGATTGGTTTGAATCTTCCTATATACCTGGTATGACACAACACATCCTAGAAGTGGTTACCAGGAACACTGAAGTTTATCTGAGCAATATTTCCACTCCACAGGATGTATAAGTAATTAAGAAGTCATTTTTAATAGGATAGGACTAGGCTTATTGTTCCTTGGGGTAAGCACAGATTAAAAAGGTTCTGCAGTGATAATGAGAATATTTACTTTGTTCAAAACACCTTCTGGTTAAACTGAAACTTTTATTCAGATCATTTCAAGTGAGTCATTAATTTTCAGAGTTTGTCATAACACAGCTTCATACAAATTTTTCTATGAGGGAGGAGCAATTTTATCATTCAGCTAAAGGGAAAAAGTAATGATTGTATTTGTAGCAACGTGGATGGAACTTGAGGGTGTTATGCTGAGCGAAATAAGTCAGGCAGAGAAAGACAGATACCATATGTTTTTCTTATAAGTGGATCAGGAGAAACTTAACAGACGACCATGGGGGAGGAGAAGGGGAAAAAATAGTTGGGGAGAGAGAGGGAGGCAAACCATGAGAGACTCTTGAATACTGAGAACAAACTGAGGGCTGATGGGGTGGGGGAGAGGGGAAGGGAGGTGATGAGCATGGAAGAGGGCACTTGTTGGGATGAGCACTGGGTGTTATATGGAAACCGACTTGACAATAAACTATGAAAGAAAAAAAAGTCATGGTTGTATTTAGAGGGTAGAAATAAAGTATTGCAATAACAGAAATTATAAAGATAGCTCACGTTAAGAGCTATTATTGAATGGGAAATTTAAAAGACTGGTAGTTTTAGGGAGAAAGATTATATTGAAATGGAAGCAAGGTTGTGTCCTCTTATGTTTCATTTGTATTTTTCTGGTTATTTTTCAGTGAATGTTTGACATGATTATAAAGGTTTGATATAGCTGTATATTCCTTTTCTAGTAACTGTATATTATTTTAAAGTTATCAGATTAGAGACATGGAAAATGGCATTTTTAATAACTTTAGAATGTGAATCTTAAAGTTTAAAAAATGTAATATTGAATGAATCTTCCAATTTCATGCCTTTTATTAAATTTACATATTTCTTTTAAAGCATGTTTCATTTATTTCTAATATCTTTTTTCTGATTTATCTTGTAGGAAATGCTGCAGTCATCTTCTGCAATCATATTAGGTAATGCAGAAGTGAATAATGTGAAGGCTAATACACAGAGAAATGAAATCCCAGTAGAGGAACTTGGTAAGATTCCTGAACATAAGATTATTACGAAAGGAACGCGAAATAAAGAAGGCAAGGTGATGGACTGTTCTGAGAGTTACTTGAGTGTCCAGGGCAAATCCTTTCACGAGGAGTCTGAAGGATCTCCTCCTGAGTCCAGCTCTGATCTCCCCAATCCTGAAACTTTGCATGCAGAGGCAACTGATTCAGTTCCACAAGGTTCTGAAGAAAACAAAATCAAGAGGACATCCTGTATGTATGGGGCAAACTGCTACAGGTAAAATAAAATTACAGGTAGCACGAAATTCTGTTGTTTCAGTAGCCTGTAGCTATGTGATACATGTGTGTTTAAAGCTTAATAAAATACATTGGCCTAAAGGTTAGGAGCTTTATCATGTTTCTACTGGCTGGCACTTTCTCAATATTCATTACTGCGAATCCTGCTTGAGGCTTTCAAGATACAGTGGGGGAATGAAATGTTTCGTATGTAGACATGCTAATTAATGCAAAGACATGAACTAGGCAATCCAGACTTGAGAATTTAATCACCCAGACCTAAATACTTGCTTATTTAATGTCTTATTTAGATATTAGAAAGATGGCTTCATAAATAGTTGTAATATATAATGTAAATATCAAGAGAATTGTAAGCTGTGTTTAAGGCATCCTACTAGTGCTTTTTTTTTTTTTTTTATATTTTTCTACTTGTGCTTATGATTCACCATGATACTTTTATTTTGGTACCTGGAAAGCTCTGTACTGACTAGATGTCATGAGTCTTGTTTTTAACAGTGTAGCACATTGGTTCAATTTCTGGAATAATTAGATGTGTGTTACTTGGTTTCCTGCCATATCTTATAAATTATTTTTTTGTGGTATATCTAGAATTCTAGTATACCCTATTAATTATTTTTTCTGACCGTATATTTGCCACCTTCTCAGGAAGAATCCTGTTCATTTTCAACACTTTAGTCACCCTGGTGATAGTGATTATGGAGGTGTACAAGTCACATGTCAAGATGAGGCTGATGAGCGGCCTGAATGTCCCTATGGAGCATCTTGCTATAGGTATGTACACTTGAAACGTTAGCCTGTATTCCTTTTCTCCTTAATCTGTTGTATATTCAGAAGCAGTTGCAGGCAACTTCTCACTTTAAGCCCTTTACTCCTTAAACTTCCATAGATAGTAGGTTTTCATTTTGTTCATAGGTAGGATCCATAATGTTTCTTTTAGATAAATATACATTGTTGAAGTTATTAACCTTGTGAGTGCCTAAAATTGTTCCTCATTTCTAACTTTCCAAAATGCAAATTAGGGAATTGAGAAGCTCTCCATGCTACCCCATCATACACTCTATCCAGAAGAAGTGAAGATAAGCTACAAAATGGGAAAAAAATTGCAACCACATAATTGATAGTAGGTATTTATCCAGAGCGCTGAAAGAGGACTTACAGATTGCTATTGTTTTTCTCTTAGTGACATGTACAGGCTTTCTGTCCAAAAGAAAATCTAAATAGAGAATAAACTTATGAAAAAGTATTCAGTATCATTATTAATTAGGGAAATTTCACACCAGCATGTACACACATGCACATACACACATGCACATACATACACCCTTGAAGTAACTAATTCCTGTTCCCTTTTATTCATTCAATGGATATTTCACAAAGAATCATTAAATGCCAAGTACTGATGAAACAACGTTGAGTGAGATTACTTGTAGAAGGAATGTCAGTCTGTCTGTCTGTCTGTCTGTCTATCTGTCTATCTATCTATCTTTAAAATAAAATACCTTTCATAGCTCATGACAAAATGGTGATATTCCTTTTCGTTTTTAGGGAGCTTTAGGGAACATTTTAGGGAACTTTTGTAATATAGAATTTTATACATATCCACACGTGGGGGAAATTTAGAACAAGTTCCAGCAACGCCATAATTCATTTCCAAGTATTGTCTAATATTGTTTCATCTATACTTTCCTCTCTACCTGCTATCCCTACCCCTAGATTAGTTTGAATGAAACACTTGATGTTGTATCTTTTCATCCCATTTTATTCATAGGTATCTTAGGGTATATCACTAAAAGATAAAGACTTTCTAGAAATATACTGTAACACCATTATTAAATAAGTATCATTTAGATCCTATCAGGTATCCCAATTCTCTTATAGTCTCTTTTTTCTTCATTTTTTTCTTTGAATTAGGAGCCAGGCAAGGTCCATATATGGCAAAAGGCAGCCATGTTTCTTAAGTTATTTAATCAATTGGTTCCTCTTCATTTTTTTTCCCCCTTGAATATATTTGTTGAAGAAAGCTGACCATTTGTTTTGAGGAGTGTCTGATCGTCTGGATTTTGCTGAGTGCATTACCAAATTGTCATTCATTATGTTCCCCTGTATTTCCCTAATTATTGGCAGTTAGAGCTAGAGACTTGATCAGATATCAGTTCTAAAAATTGTAAAAGTTGCCTGGTCCTATGAATATCAAGTCCCTCTTAGTCTCTAAAATGCTTCTTGCTATAAAGTCTCCTTTGTCTAATATTTACAAATGTTTAGGAATTGCTCTAGATATACTGTTATTATTAATTTACAATTTAGTTTTGTTGTGGTCATATAAAATTTTTTAGAATTTATAATTTATTGAGATTTCGTTTTGGCCCAACATATGGTCTGTTTTTGTTGGACATGATATGTGCACTTATATATACTGTGATTTGGGGGAATAAGGTTCCATAAATGTCAATTTGAGCAAATAGTTATAGTGTTGTTCATGTATTTATTTGCTGATTTTTTTTTTCTTTAGTTCTATCAGTTACTGAGGAAAGGATATGAGAATCTCCACTGTAATTGTAGGTTTGTCTATTTCGTCTCCTAATTCTGTCACATTTTATTAAAATACCACTGTGGTCTGTCCTCAGTGGAAAAGCCATTAAAATGGGAAACTCACTCAAGCTGCTCTCTTTTTCCATGTGTTGACTCCCCTCTGCTTTTGGTGGCTTTCTATAGCCTTAAGATTATGTTTGTTTGTTTGTTTGTTTAAGATTATTTATTTATTTTGAGAGAAAGAATGAGAAAGAGAGAGAGCATGAGCAAGTGGGGGAAAGGAAGAAAGAGGGGGAGAAAAGAGAGAACTCCAAACAGGCTCCATGATGTCAGCACAGAGCCTGACATGGGGCTCAAACCCGTGAACCGTGAGATTATGACCTAAACTGAATCAAGAGCCGGACACTTAACCAACCGAGCCACCCAGGCACCTCAAGATTATTGTTTTTATATTTTTAACAGAGTATAATTGTTACCTGTAGGAGGTTTAGTCTGATATGATCTCCTCTGTCATTACCAGAACTAGAACTTCTGCTTTGTGTGGTATAATATAGCTACTCCAGCTTTCATCGGTTAGTGTTTGTGTGATATCATTTTTCATCCTTCTTCTTTCAACCTCTGTCCTTATATTTAAAGTCTGTCTCTTACAGATGGCATATAATTGGTTCACTGGTTTTATTTTCAATCCAATCTGATAGTCTTTTTTTTTTTCCAGTGGATTGCTAGTCCAATTACATTTAATACAATTAGTTTTCTTTCCTTTTTTTTGAGAGAGAGAGAGACACACGCAAACAGGGGAGAGACAGAGGGAGACAGAGAATCTCAAGCAGGCTCCACACCGAGGGCAGAGCCCAACACATGACTCAGTTTCACAACAGTGAGTTCATGACCTGAGCCCATATCAAGACAATACTTAACTGACTGAGCCACCCAGGTGCCCCCAGTTATGGATATTTTTAAGTTTAATTTTGTCATTTCACTATTTGTTTTCTATTTGTCCCACATATTCCTTGTTCCTTTATTCTTTTCCTGACCTCTTTTGGATTTATCAAGCATTTTTCATTCCATTTTTTCTCCTCCATTAACTTTTTAGTTACATATTCTTTTTTTTTTTTCAGTAGTTACATTTGATTTTAATTAACTTCATTGTCTTATTGCAGTCTACCATACAGTTGGTTCTCTAACCACTTCCCAAAGTGAACAGTAATCCTATGGGTCAATTTAAGTTCATTTTCTTTCTCTTTTGCCCTTTTTGAAAAAATACTGCTGTCATATATTTTTCACCTCTACACGTGTCAACTTGTAAGGCATTGCTGTTATTTTCCTAAATTTTAAGTATTAGCATTCTCTTCTATTTATTGACATACTTATCATTTGGGGTAGCCTTTATTTCTGAAGTTTTATCCTTTTATCTGAGATAATTTTCTTAGACTTAGGAACTTCGTTTCATATTTCTTTAGTGAAAATCATATGGAAAAGGATTCTTTCAGCTTTGATGGTTCTGAAAATGTCCTGATTGGTTGACTGTTTGATTGATGACTCTTTACTGGGTGTAGAATTTTAGCTTGCCAAATTGGAAGATGTTGTTCCATTGACTCTTGCATATATAGTTTCTGTTAAAAATTACTTGTTTGTCTTACTATTGCTTTCAAATTCATCTGTCTTTCCTCTGACCACCATTAAGATTTTTATCATGCTTTTTCTTTTAAGTAAACTCTGCCCCCAATGGGAGGCTCAAACTCATGACCCCACGCTCAAGAATCACATGTTCTATCAACTGAGCCACCAGGTTCCCCGTGTTGTTTTACTTTCAACAGTTTAACTGATTTGTTTCTAGGTATGATTTTTTTTGACATTTGTCTTGTTTGGGGTTCACTGAACTTTTCTGAAGGTTGATGTCTTTGTTAGTTTGAGGAGATTGCTTAGCTGTTCCTTAATTTCTCAGATATTACTCTGCCTTATTCTCTGTCTTCTCTTATTCTTCTACTCCATTTAAGCATGGCTCATTGGTCTCTTATACATTGTTTTATTTTTTCCATTCTTTTTTTTTACTTTGGTGCTTCAGATCAGCTATTTGCTATTCATCATCTTAGAGTTTAGTAGTTCTCTCTTCTCATGTGTCTAGTCTGCTAATAAACCTATCCAAAAAGTTCATAATTTTAGATACTGCATTTTGCACATGTTATCTTTCATCAGTGAGGGCATCCCTCTGTTTGGATAGGAGCTAGTCATCTCTGTTCAGTCAGAGATTTAGATGAGTAATCCCTAGGTTGATGTTTTAATAAAACTCAGTCTGCCTTTGGTTTGTCCCTGTTCCTTTGGCATAACTTTTCTAGACTTTTGATGGAAAAGCAGGTCTCTGTCTTCTTAGCTCTGAAACTTCCCTTTGGAGATTTTGAACGTAGCTTAGGCTACCACTCATGCATCCTAAATTCTGACATGTTTCTTGTGGGAAGACTACTTATGTGTTTGTTGTAGATCCTTTTTCCCTAGTGGGACTTTATTCTGAAGCACAACATGAATTAGAGATTTCATTCTGCCTTTTTGAAGTTTCAGACCTAGACCTTAAACCTCTCATACTTCCCAGGAACCCAGGAAATGTTTCTTAGAAAGAATCATCTTTGTGTTTGGGGTTCTTTTAGTTTTCACATTGTCATGACCTCCCTGTGAGACCATGAAAAGCTCTACTAGTTTATCTTTTCTCAACTAAAGTTCCTCTAGGTGACTCAAATCTTATTCTTCAGCCTACACCAAGAATTGGTAAAGACCTCTAGGGAAGAAATCAGCCAGCGATTGTCAGATAACCTCAGAAGGGCTTTTTTCTCTGTGGAATTTAAATAATCCAAAATTCGTATTGCTCCCACAGTTCCCTCATAAAAATAATTTTTATAGTTTATTAGTTTTTCCCTACTTGTTAAGAGTATTGGTCTGTCATGATGTTCTATATCCTTCTCAAAAGCAAAATCCAAATGTGCCTATTCTTTTTTTTTTTTTAAGTTTTTTTTTAATGTTTTTATTTATTTCTAGGAGAGAGAGAGAGAGAGACAGTGTGAGCAGGGGAGGGTCAGAGAGAGGGAGACACAGACTCTGAAACAGGCTCCAGGCTCTGAGCTGGCAGTCAGCACAGAGCCCGACGCGGGGCTCGAACCCACGAACCGTGAGATCATGACCCAAGCGAAAGTCGGACGCTCAACCGACTAAGCCACCCAGGTACCCCCAAATGTGCCTATTCTTGAGAAGAA